CTGGAAAATGGCAGATCCAATGATTCCCTGGACTTGTTTTTTCCCTCTAAAAAGTCGTTTTTCAAGTTTGGTAATAGAAAGATGTCAAAAGGTCAAAGATTTTGCAAATATTGTTAATGTAAAAAAACAGTAACTTTCTGTTTATCCCGAAAACATATTATTCTTCAGGGCATGCGGGTTTGGACACTATCATGAAAAAATTTAATGTAGTGGATTCCTTATTGTGGGTCCTCCCTCTAATAAACCTTTCGATTTTTTTGCAAAAGAATTGCTTTCTATTCTTCTCCAGATATTAAACTGTCTTCCCGAATACCAATTTGAACAACAATACCACTTATATTTAAGAAAATTGCATATAAATCTGTCTTTGTGCTCTTGCATACCTTTGCTTTTGTCAGACCCTCGCCGTTTTTATCAACTTGTACATCTAATGGTAAATTTTGTTTTGATGATTTTAAGCAATAGATTGAATTTCCAATATCTGTTTGAATGTAAAACAAACGTGGAAACTACAATTACTGATATTTTAAAATAATTGTTAAGACTTTCGTACACGCTGTTGTTTTTACTCATTTTCAAAATATAGAGTGTTCTTTGAGTACCAAGCTCTTTTTTTACTGTCAAACGTTTCTTTAAAACAGTGTAAATTTCTCTGATATGATGTCTATCAAATGTGTCTCGAATAGCCCTTGTTTACCAGTTTCTGACGATGAAACTATGTGATGAAAAGTGGTCACATAAACTGTTATAAATTCAATTAAGACAGAAAGTAAAGTTTAATGTCATATGATATCTGTATTGTATGTCTTACAGTTCAGGACATTATTTATTGAACAGCCCTCGTAGTTTTTAATGACAGGTTAATGCGACATATAAACAAGAGGCCCACGGGCCTTATAGGTCACCTGAGTATCATGTAACAACTTTCCAGCGATTGTATTTGGTTCGAGTTTTAATCCAAAAGCCATGAAATTCAAAAATTTTAAAAGAGGCACCATTGCTTATCAAAGGGCAGATTTCAAAGCATTAATTTATTTTTATTCAAAGTACCCCCCATGGTACCCCTGACCCAGTGTCCCTGAATTTATCTATTTTGAAAGAAGCCCCTCTCTTCATTATAAGGCCAGCATTTTTTTATGTTTAGGTTTCGTTATGAACATGAGAATAAAAAAGTCCCGAAGGAGAAGGAAATAAAAAAAATATTTGATAAATCAATTTTTCATTCTTTTTTTATGCTATTCTAATAGGCTCCTTACCACTGGACACATAATGATTACAAATAGGAAAGTAGAACATTTAATTGCTTATTTCATCATATGCCAGTTTGGGCCAGTTATATAAATTTTGTGATGTTGGTCAAAATATATTTTAAAAAATCAATTCTTTAAACATGCTAAAAGTCTTTCAATATATCTTCATTTTTTTAATATGTGTTAGGTGAATGTGTAGACATTGTTCTAAAATTTACTTGATGCCTTAAATTATAATTCCTATCATAAAACAGACATGGAGTATTGGGGAGTAGGGTGAACTTTTTTTCAATTAAGTGTAAAAAAATTTCTCTGGCTGATACAAATGTAGTCCGAAAAATCTGACGTTTTTCTGGCTTTTTTACGATTTTGATGTTTTATATGCCAGGAAAACATCAGAAACGGCGCCATTACGAAAACCGGGAATTTCACCGCCTCCACTCGAAGTTGATTTTCTATACTTAGGAACCGAATTAGATGCCGAAATCACAATTTATCAATGGCACAATGAAAACAAATCTCAACAGTCAGATAAAATGTGTTCATCGGATTATATTAATTCATAAACAGTACATCAAAACGATGTTGGTGAATACTAAAGGTGTAGTACTATTGATAAAATGTGAATTCAGCCTTTAATTCGGTTTACAAGTATCGAAAATCAACCTCTGAATGCCGCCTCCGGTTGGAGGCGGCGATTTCCCAGTTTTCGTAATGGCGCCGGTTCTGACGTTTTCCTGGCATGTAAAATATCAAAATCGTAAAATAGCCAGAAAAACGTCAGATTTTTCGGACTAATACAAATGATACTACATGCCTGTATATATTTGTATATTCTTGCCTTTTAACAGATACTTTTGAAACGAATACATAATTATCTCACCAGCATGTCATTGTACAACAAAGTCGTCAGCATTTTATTTGTCCTTTGAATGGCACTCGTATCGATGAATTTTACACTAAACCAAGCTATATTTCTCAGATCTAGCTTTATTTACCCGCCGTTTCATCTTAAAACCGGAAGTACGAGTTCGTAAATTTGAAATCTCGATCCCGACTCATATTTGACATCGGAAAGGAAAAAAAATTGTTTTATTTTTTTTTCTGAAAATTCAAAACCTTGAGCGGAGGCTTTGTACAACTGAAAATAAAATAAATCCTGGCCTTAAATATGTAATTAGATCATTAGCATATAAACCAGGAGCAAAGGATAAGATGTTCAAAGAATTCATGCAATTCACTATATAATCATTTGAGCCCCAACCTAAAACAAGAACCCCTGACCCTGGGGCCATAAAATTCACAATTTTGGTCGAGGCACTCTTGCTCATCATAACTATGTACTTAGTTAGTTTATTTAATACCTAGGAGTAGAAAAGAAGATTTTCAAATAAATAATGTATTTTCACTATATAATCAATAGAGCCCCGCCCTAACACCAGAACCCCTGACACTGGGGCCATAAAATTCACAATTTTGGTAGAGGCACTCTTGCTCATCATAACTATGTACTTTCGCAGCACAGTTAAGGTTACAAATGGAAATATCGGCGATTTTTTAAGATAAAAAATACAAACTTTATTAGGAGGAGGAATTCACTGATATAAAAAAAAATTAATGTGCGTTAAATCTACATGTTGTGGACATTAAGATTTTTTATTTAGACTTGTCATTTGATGTCGACGTCACATGACTTTGGCAATTATACTTGCAGCTTAGAGGTCATCTATAAATTTCAATATTGCAAGGGCATAATCAAGCTTAAAATCTTAGTTTATTTTATAATCCTTTTCAACACTTTATGTAGTTTGTGAAAAGTGCTGCGAACCTATGTAGATTCCCTTTTTTAATTGGTAAAATTTAATTTGTTGAACGGCAGGTTGAATATTTTGCTGGTCAATTACATTAAATATAGCTATAATTAATTAATTTGCAAGATTTCAAGAGGTTCGCAGCACTTTTCAAATATCTTAATGCTTCTTGAGTTTATGTGTAAATTTTGACAAGATACATTGAGGGTATGCCCTTGCAATAAATCGATTTATTGGGGTCCTTACATTACTTTTACAATGAATCTGCATGCAAACACACGATAGAATCGCTTGTCTGATAAATGCACGTACAGTTTATGAATATAATACTAAAATAAACATCGCATCCAAGTTAATGGCTTTTTATTTTACCACAAATATTTTTTTATTTGAGAACAAAAGACATTTTTCATTGTAAAAAATGTGACTTGATCAGCCTCTGACTGTGTAAAAACTGCGTCATTTTTGCGAGATGACGTCACATTGACAAGTGCATTGCGATCGATACATCGTATATATACTATTGTGTGGGATTTAACAGACGACAAAACTGCATGTAATAGTAAGTTTGTATGTAGTTAGTATACAGCTATCCAGCTGTTTGAAATAGCAAGTAATTTCATTTTGTGGTATTTTGAAGACCTTATATTATGCGTGACGTACAAATTATGCCCTGCCTCCTTACTGTAACCTTAACTGTGCTGCGTTGTTGGTTTATTTAATACCCAGGAGCAGAGAAGAAGATTTTCAAAGATATAATGCATTTTCACTACCTAGTTATTTAGCCCCGCCCTAGCACTAGAACCCCTGACCCCAGGGCCATGAATTTCACAATTTTGGTAGAGGACTTATTGCTGATTACAATCATGCAAACAGTTTGATTGCTTGATGTCCAGGGGTAAAGAAGAAGATTTTTAAAGATGGCATTATTTTAGTGGTTTTGAACCCACCCCTCAGGCCCAAGGGGGGCAGGGATCATGAAATTCACAATTTTTGTTCCCCTTCACCCATAGATGCTTTGTGCCAAATTTGGTTGAAATTGGTTTAGTGGTTGCAGAGAAGAATCTAAAAATGTTCAAATGTTAACACACGACGAACGACGCACGACGCACGACGACGGACGAAAACGGATAGCAATAGGTCACCTGAGTTTACTCAGGTGACCTAAAAATGTATAGAATTAAAAAAGGTGACTGTGTTGAAAAAGTAATATGTATTAAGCTTTGACGTCAGGTGACGTCGAGGACTTCCGTTTAAATGCTTCGGGAATGAGTGTGTGTCTTCTTCGTATCTGATAAAAGTATATCAATTTGTGGTTTGCTTATTAAAAAATAAAACATGAATTAAATAGAAATAGATAGTTTCATAAAATTTATCAATTTTTGCCAGTGATTATCAATGTTGTTCAAAATTTACTCTCGTATCTCTGTAAGGGTTTTTTTTTTTAATCTTTTAAATCCAATATAGATATGGTACATGTATATGTAACGGAAATTCTTTTTGGTTGTTGGGAATAAACAAAATATTCAAAACTGAAATATAATTTTGGAGAATTTTCCCCTTAGAAAGCCCAATCTCTGTAATGTAATTTGCTTGGTAACTATGTGTTACCATGGCAACCATGACATTTATATATAGTAATAATTTACTATTATAACCTTAGATAAATATTCTGACCGAAATTAAATTTACACTATACTAATAGATTTCACCTACATTTATTAATTTTAAAACAGTTGATCCTAAAAAAAGATTTTTGAATAGATAATTAAAGAAATGTAAAGTACATGTATATATGTTAGTATGTTTAAAGTCTTGGAAAATGGCCGAGTATGACATCTATGAACATGTGATATTTTCCCTGAAAGTTGATGATGTTATACTAAAAGATTGGAAAAATGTTATATAAAAATATACAAATTCCATATCTTCTTCAAAGGATAAGCTGGAAGGCTATTCATTCCCTGTGTACAACACAACGTCATGTCCCAGTAACCAATCAGAATGGAGGAATAGATCATCTGACCTAAACTGTACAGAGAGTAATGGATACATGTGTATACCTAACGAGAACATTACACAACTGCTGGAGTTTTGCTACAGATATCCAAGGATTCCAGTTGAAAAGAGTAAAAAATAACATTACTGGCAAATACATCTTTAGCTTATTTTATAAGAATTAAACTCTTAACTTAGCATTATTAAATTATTGATAATTTTGATTTATAGTTCAGTATACTTATTGAATCCTTGTAATTTGATGTAAGGTTACATTTGTTTGTGAAAACATGTCTTTTAGCTCTACTGGTCAGAGTCCAGAAGAGCTTATGCGGAAGTAGTGTTTCTGTCGTCCGTCTTTCTGTCTGTGTGTAAACAATTTCTCGAAATGCTTCTCTTCTTCTTTTCTTGCAGTTTTGGTCTAATTTCAAAATAACTTGGCACACACGTATACAGCAATAAGATTCATAATTATGTACATCGGTTTTTATTCCGATGAACAGTGTTGCTATTATTACATAGAATAGTAGTTTCTGTAAAATTCTACTGAAAAAACAGTTTTATAATAAAATGTATGTAGTCTACACTGTGATGCAAAATATTGTCTTTTTTGTTTTAATCTTAATACACGATTTTGCAATGAAAACTTAAATAATAAATTCTTTAAAGTTAATTAAAAGGAACTCCTAGAGTTGTACTCTTTTTGCAGTCTTACCACAAAAAGAGACTCAAACCAAGGATCATTAATTATTCTATGTATTGCTGTTATAAAGTTTGAAGTCGAAACTGCTGCTTTTCTCTTCCTTTGTTATAAGTACGAACCAGAATAGCTACAGTGTCAACAGAGAATTCTGGTTTTATATTAAAAAATGTCTCAGACATTTCTTCAATTTTAATTTATAATGTAATAAAATATTTAAGAAATCATAGGTTAAACCATTTTCTTTTAGGTATCTGTTTGATACTAAAGAAATCAACGTCTCTTGTTGAAGCCTACAGCTGTAAACATTTTAGAAATGGGTGTCCGGATAAGCTGTACTGGAGTAATCAAGTCTTTGAATGTACGTATTACACGTTTGATATGAATTATGTTTTTCTTAAATCAAAACATACTACAATGCTTTTTAAAATTAAAAAGGTTTAAGGTATTTCAGTAAATATTGACCTCTAATCTTACTTCTTCTTATCATTGATTTTCATGAAACTTAACGATATGAAAAAATAAATAAAAACACACTGTAACCGATTTCACTGCAGAATTTACTTTTATATTAAAAAAAAAGTATTGAGTATTTAAATCTTCAAAAATATATATCTTGGAACAAATTGACTTATTCTATAAAATCATCTACTTATGAATTAATGTTAATCATATGATACTTTTTCGATTTATTTGAATTTTATATTATCAAATAATTCCATTTAAAGATCCAAGTTGCCTATCTATTGGACATAGATGTTTTCTTGATGAACCTCTCTGTAAAGATGAAGGGTATGTGATTAGTATTTTACTCTGTCAGGAGAAATGATATCGAAATAACAAATAAAATAGTCATTTTATAAAAAAAAATCTAGATATGTTCACTAGACTTGATTAAAGTTCACTTCTATTTCATGTTGAAAAGTGTCAAAGATAAAGAAACCCTCCCTATTTCTAAATTTTACTTGTAGAAGAATTTGTTCGTATAAAGGTGACAGGTTCATTGCATACATTCTCTCTTCCTTTGTGTATGTGTGCGCCAAGGGTGTGTGTGTGTGTTTCTGTTTAAGCTAGAGTGCAGTAATTGTATGTCCAAAGACAAAATTGTTTTATACAGCTCAAAGATCCCATATATAATCGTAACAAAATCCTGTCATGTAATGCATATGATTTTTAGTCAGTTACAAAATATGCAGGATAGACTTATTCACAATTCATGCAGATTTAATTAGAAAACTGTTTTTGCTACTGAACAGAATTGCTACCACAACTTTAGGAAGTACCCCCATCCCAGATATCGATGGAAGTAATAGATGGGTTTGGATTCTAGTTTTAGGAATATTTCTGCTGATTGTATTCATACTATTTTTTGCGCTTATAATCATCTTCAAAAGAGGAGATCAGAAGACGTTGGACGGTAAAGAATTATATTTCAATATATACTGTATATATTTTTCTGAAATGATTTAAAATTACATAAACTAAATTTTATTGGTCATTAATTGAAATTCCAAAAATATTATACTACCTCAAATATTTATTTTGTTGAACATTTGCACATGCTTAGTATGTTTCAATATTTCAGTGATATAGATTAATAGAGTAGCTAACTTTAAAACAAGGGAATGAGGACGTTTTTGGTTCCTTTATTAACACACTCATCTAATTAAACTGATTATTATTTGATACGTCTAAAATTCAAACGTGTACTTTTATTGATAGCATATTTGGCAATAACGGAAATAACAAATGAATATAGTTTAAATTGACACTAAAATGATTCTGTATTTTGTACGTTTATTCCATTTTTTTCTTTTTAAATATAGAGGGGCACAAAGAAGCGGAGACAATTCCCCATAAAATGGACAGCTCGGGAGAAGGAGAAGATTTTAACATAGGTAAATGTTACTTTCATTCCTTTACTTTATAAAATTGTGAATGTATACTACAATATTCACATTTGCTCTGTTTTTCTACAAAGCCGACTGTGAAATTGGTTTAAATAGCATTTTCGTGTATACTTATGCGTAGAAATATACAAGGAGAAACATGCGTTAACGTGAAGTCACAATGATGTTGCAGCGGCGTTAGTAAAAATGCAAGTATATAAGGTAGCAAGGAATTCAAATATTGAATAAATTTTAGATTATCCCAAACGTAAAATGTAAATATAGGGAATTTTTAAAAAATGTTTTGTGTGCTTTGTTGGTGTAAGAATCACACAGGCTTACACGTAATCAGATTTTAACGGAAAATAACGGAAAAATCCGCCGTCAATTCAGGGTATAAATAATGTACTAACAATTGGTATGAAAAACGCCAGTCAGCATTTGTCTCAATGATAAATTGTATTTGCTCACAAGGTCATTGTATCGACCATAGAATTTACGAAATGATGACTTTAAACGAGACTGTTGATATTCTTTTTTATTAACTTGCTTGTCAATAATTTACCTCGTTTTAGAAATTGTTCGTACGTATAGCATGCTCTTGCGTATCTAATCAACTGTGATACATACATTCTGTATGCAGGTGATGAAGGTATATTGCTTCATTATAAGCAAGGGAAGTTAACGATAGAATAGTTAAAGTTATCAGGTTTATCATATAGCTTGGTTGTAAGATTACCGTTAACGTCTTTTTCAAGTAAAACATCCAAGTATGAAACAGATGTGTCAGACTCTATAGTATCTTTTATATCAAGCTCACCAGGATATATCGTATCGACGTAGGAATGGAAATGACCATTGTTTATTGACAATACATCGTCGATTTATCTAAATGTCATGTTGAAGGCCACAGCAAGTGTTTTCTTCTTTTCACGCATTAGATTTTGCACAAATTCTGCTTCATATGAATATAAAAAAGGTCTGCTAATAACGGAGCGCATTTGGTACCCCTGGGAATTCCAATAGATAGCGCTAACTTATTCCCAATATTATATTTTCTCGCTGCCCTATATCGTGATACTTAAAATTTAATTAATGTCGCTGTAGCCCCATTGTGATGTCACTTTAGCGCGAGTTTTTCTGTGTATATTTCTACGCGTGAGTATAAAACAAAATAGCATTCATATCAATTTTAAAAATTGGTTATGAGAAAAACACTGCAAATGTAAATATTATTTTTGCAGAAACATCGTGCTTTAATTTTACTGATGTATATTGCCCTGTTTTATTTATGGTTTAGAAAGAGAAGTCAGAAAGGTATTTCTTTTCACAGTGATCTCATAATTATTCTATATTATTTGGTGTTATAGTAATGCTCCACCTTTCTGTGCCTTTTTTAAATGACATCTAATTTAATCATAAACAAGATAGCATAGTACCTATCATCTTCGCTAGCCAAGGGTTTCCGATCCGATACCTACTCTTGTAGAGTAGGTATCGGATCGGAAACCCTTGGCTAGCGAAGATGAGTACCTATATCTTACCGGATTTGACTTCTGTTACATCAAGTCAATGTGAAGGAAATTAAAACAAAATTGAAGATGAGAATGTTATTAGTTTCTATTATATGTATTATAATCTGATACAATAAATGCATAAACTTAACAATTAATTTTATTTGTAGAAGAAATTCCACTCATAGAATATGAAGAGGAAATACAGGAAAGTGAAGGGAACCAAGAACTGAATGACGAGTCTATACTTTTGCCGGCAAATACAAAAACCCTGGACAAAGACAATATTTTTGGAGACCAATCTACAAGTTTGTTATTTTCTAAATCATGAAAAAGTCAAAAATATATCATAATATGATTGTAAGATTATATATAATAATGAAAGTTTTAGAAAAAGATATTTCTGTCGGAATAAGATATTTGGTTAGTGAACGGGTAATAGGAAAATTTCTTGCAACGTTTTTCATCACAATTATCCAATAAACAATTAATTATTTTACATTATTTTACAAATGTTCACAAAAATAGTTCTTTTTCAAAATTGAGATGAATTTTTTCCCTTTTTAATTAAAAAAAGTTACAATGTTATTGATAGCAATATTTAGAAAATTATTCTACTTTCTCAGTTTAAAGCCAATCGAATTGGAAATGTAACTTTTTATACTAATGAATACGGTTTATTAAGAATGCATAAGAGGGTTGTTAGAAAAGTTAGCGGACACATTGAATTACGGTAAATCTATTGTGTACTGTGAAGTATGACCTGAATTCCTACATTTTGTTTATTGGTATATAAAAACCAGGTCCATATAATAAAATCTTGAAAATGTACAACTATTTTTACTATGGGGTCTTGGGATTCACGGAGCAATCACTTGACGTAAGCGACCTGGCAACCAGATTTCAATCCGTTAAGCTTTGTCGCAGTTATAATTATAAATCTTTCATTTCTTAAATTTTTCTTATCTTTTTTATTCTTTAAAATTGAAAATCTATATCAGGACATGTTACTTTTCTACTTTAATGTCTTTTGTACTGATTCGTATATTATTGAGATCTTAAAAAAATAAAAGAAGTCTATGCAGTTAATCAATCAGGTATGGAAACTATGCAAAACCATATAGGCGCAACGCAACGTCCATGCGATAGGGTATTGAAGTATCGATGGAGTTAATCATTCAAAATGTTACTCCTTCCATTCTTATGAAGCTATAACCATTTGAAAACTTGTTCTTTGTATGTGTAGGAAATTTCTGTCAGCATAGTGAACATTTTAATCTCTATTTTGACATTTTTTGTCTGCACACATAATTTTTACGTAATCCAGTGCTCCATGATGCTCAATGACGTTCCGATTTTTGGTTGTCTTTTTACGCGTTGATCATTTATCATTTAAAAACGGCTATAAAACAGTCATATACCCTCCAATTTAGTTCAAAATTTCTCCCAGTGACGTTTCCTGCGTACTTTAGTGGCAGGTAAAATATCATAAATCTCTTTGCTACAATTGTGCAATTTTTAATTTTAATAAAGAGTCTTTGTGAAGTAAACGTACTAAAATGTAGCATGCTCCATGAAGCAAGTTTTATCAAAATAAAAATGCTGTATATTTTTCAATAATCACCGGAGAGCACCAAATTCTTGTATATTTATTTGAAAAAAGATAAAGATATTATCTGGAAAGTTTGACCGGTTTCGTGGAAATAGCACGCTCACAATACAACTTGTCCGCGAACTTTTCTAACACCCCTCGTATATAATTATTTTGGAAAAAAAATCTTTTCATATGTATGTTTCACCCCAGATGTCATATTACTATAACTGGGTTACTTTATCATATAATCGGAAAGTTAATACATGTATGTACGTAAGTCAAATAACAAATCTAAACAAATCTAAACACCTGAATCATATTATGTTTCTTAAAAAATTGTGAACATATCAATAGTCTTATTAAGTTATGGTTTCCCCTACAGTTGAAATGAACAGAAAACAATTTAAGGAAGACATAGGAGAAAAGAAACCTGAGGATAATTCCTTGTCAGATTTTGTAGTGGAAAAACAGGACAACATGCCATATATAGATGAAACCAGCAATGCAGCAGACTCCCCATCGGAAGACATAAGCAAAGAAGAATATTCCTCGTCGAATAAAGACGTTTTAGAGGAGATAAACAGCTACTTAGGCCAACAGGAGGGCAGTGACAGAGCAGATGCAGAAAAGCTTAAGATAGGTGAGATTGAACTTTGTTTGAGAATACAATTTTGGAAATTCATATCCCCGTTTTCTTGAAACCAAAAAAAAAAAAAAAAAAACACTTTGACTTAGAGTAAATTGCTTTCAAATAACTGTGGTACCGTTTTCTTGAACATATATTTTAAATGATTAAAAGTCACTGAAATGTGTACTAGAATAGATAATAATTCATACATTGCTTTCTGACTGACATTCTGACTTGCTGTCTGTTCTTTACTCTTCGTTTCTAGAAGTCTGTTTGAATTATTCAGTGTTGAATTCAAAGTTGAAAATTGAATAGGATGAAAACATGATACATGATTTTGAAAGCTGTACAGTTTTGTAAATTAGTTCGAAAATTAATAACATTTATACTATTAATTTTACTGATCATGTTCATTAAAAATAGTAAGTGTAATTGAAGAGTATTTGTATTAACGTTTAGGTATACAGTGTAGAATTAAGAGGCAGTCCACCGAAAAACCAGGCAATGGGTGGCATATCGCGTGTCATGGATTTTAATTATTCTTTGCAAGTAGACTTATTAAAGCAGTTGATTACAAATGACAACATCAAAATTTTTTTTAGTGCTCCTGTAGTTCTTTTTTTGGTAAATGCTTAATTTTAAGTGCAAAAAGGTCAACATGAGGGCAAAATAATAGCTACGTTTTTATTTTGTTTTATATGTAACAGATACTCAAAAGCTAGATGTGGCGGTGAATATTATTTATAGCATAGACTCTTATCTTTAATTTTATTAAATAAGACTCCAATTTATATTTCTTTTGAAAAAATTATATGGTCCAAATTTGAGTTTAGCAAATGACTTTTTAGCTCACCTGAGCCGAAGGCTCAAGTAAGCTTTTCTGATCACATTTTGTCCGTCGTCCGTCCGTCTGTCTGTCTGTCTGTCCGTTTGTAAACTTTTCACATTGTCGACTTCTTCTCAAGAACCACTGGGCCAATTTTGACCAATCTTGGTACAAAACATTCTTAGCTAAAGGGGAATTTAAATTGTTAAAATAAAGGGCCAAATTCCTTCACAAGGGGAGATAATCAAGAAAAGTCAAAAATAGGGTGGGGTCATTAAAAAAATCTTCTTCTCAAGAAACACTGGGCCACAAAAGCTGAAACTTATGTGGAAGCATCCTAGGGTAGTGTAGATTCTAAATTGTTCAAATCATGGCCCCCGGGGGAAGGGCAGGGCCACAATAGGGAATTAAAGTTTTACATAGAAATATAAAGGAAAAATCTTTGAAAATCTTCTTCTGAAGAACCACTGGGCCAGAAAAGCTGAAACTTGTGTGGAAGCATCCTGGGGGAGTGTAGACTCTAAATTGTTCAAATCATGACCCCTGGGGGAAGGGCGGGGCCACAATTGGAAATCAAAGTTTTGCATAAAATTATATTGGAAAAATCTTTGAAAATCTACTTCTTAAGAACCACTGGGCCAGAAAAGCTGAAACTTATGTGGAAGCATCCTAGGGTAGTGTAGATTCTAAATTGTTCAAATCATGGCCCCCGGGGGAAGGGCGGGGACACAATAGGGAATCCTAGTTTTACATAGAAATATATAGGAAAAATCTTTGAAAATCTTCTTCTCAAGAACCACTGGGCCAGAAAAGCTGAAATTTATGTGCACATGGAAGGATCCTGGGGTAGTGTAGATTTCAAAATGTCTAAATTATGATCAGTGGGGTAGGGTGGGGATGCTATATGTTTTACAAGGGGGAAATCTGGTGAAGAACAGAATGGTCAAAGCTTCTCAGGTGAGCGATGTGGCCCATGGGCCTCTTGTTGAATTCAGTATCCAATTTTCATTACCTTGTAAAACCCAATACATTAAAGGGACAGATTTTTTCTGATGTCATTTTGCTATTTTGAAAACAAAGTACAAACTTTTGAGTCACTCAATAAAATCAGTGGGAACAGGTAATAATTTTCCCAAATTACACCGATCCCGACCGGATTATATAAAGAAGAAAATACTAATTTGGCTCTTTTGTTGTTATATGATTAAAAAATTACTTGATTTATTTTTTTACATGTCTTATAGGTGGCAGGTGTCTTTAGTTTGATAAATTTATTAATTTTGCATCATTTTCGATCGGGATCGGTTTCATTTCAATCGGGATCGGTTTTTGCCGAAAATTTTGAAATATTTCCTAAATTTGGCTCTTCATTTTAATTTATCAGAAAAATATGCTTGTCATTTATTTCTTTTCACAGTAAGTCAACTGTTTTTAATGAGAGTATCCATATATTTAAATGTACATATTTAAATTACTTGTCTTCTACGTACATGAAGATTGCATGTAAAACATCTGTTTGATTTCTTGATACTCAGTATCTAAAAAAGTATTTGTACATTCAATATGTAAGAACTGAAAGCAGACAGCATTCTTGCATAATTAAATATCTTATTTCCAAGTAAAATTATTTTTTTTATTATCTTAAGAAGTAAGAGTCAAATTCAATCAATTAAACTTGCCTATACAGAACATGAATGTATTTTAATTATTTGTACAGTCTCAACTTTTTCCAATTTTTTTATCTGTCATCTGTAAATCCTTTCCCCCTATATTCTCCTCTTTTACAAAATTTAATATATAAAAAGAAATGAATAATTAGAATTATAAAACGAAATGTTTCACTAAACCATTTTCCGTTTAAGTGCCAAATTAATTATAGTAAGAAGTTCAGCAGTAATTTAAGTCAATAAATATATTTATTTAGACTTATGTTTCAGTTTTTACAAATATCATGAAGAAAACATCTCAACTTCGTTGAATTAAATGTTGCGTAAATCTAAAACATTCATGATCATTGATTCCTGCATAATCAGAAGAAAATTAAATCTCTTCACATCCCAATTTTTTGAGAAGTGGTCATTATAAACACTTCATTAATCATTTTTACGCATATCCTAGTAAATCCGTTAAAAAAAATTAGTTCTCAGACATGTATAAAATCATTTATCAAAACGGGCTAGTTTTAATGCATCTAGCTGAGACGCTGCCCGTGTTTAAAATACATTTTGATATAAAACATCTAACATTTAGAATAATGCACTTTGAAGAGTAATTAAACAGAAAAAGAGAAATAATTTTTTATAAATTTTTTTCTTCACACTTTTACGCAAAGAATTTACACAAACTTCTCTGGAAAACTTGTAACTATTTCATTGTGACGCAATATTAGTCAGGTAAATGACATCACTGATACATCAAAGGAAACGTGGAAACAACCTGAATAATAGAACAAATTTTAATACAAATTTTACGTTTGGAGGTGAAAATGAATTGTACAATGTTGAAATACATGTACATTAATTATCTTTTGTTTAAAAATTTTCTTAAGTGTATCAAATCGAAATATTTCACCAGGATTCCAATCAAAAGGTGTTTAGCAGATTAACCGATGCCACGGGAAATAACTCTTGCATCGCAAAATTTAATTAAAACGTCTATATATTTTGCCAGGAAACTAATATCAAAAGTGTTTTTACCACCAATTTTATTTTTAAACAAAAAGATGAAATATTTCTAGATTTAGTTAAGTGTGAATTTTAGTCCTGTTAAAAATGTATTAGAAATTACAGTTCCTTGTTTCTGACCTACATTCAATGGTTTATATAGGGGTATTGAAAAACACAAAACACAGGGATATTTTACTAAATAACCAATTTTCAAACAAATCTTCAACTACATTATTCCTTTTTGACTACATTGATTTTGTTATTGATATTGATATTGTTTTTAATAAAATATCAAATATTCCTCACATTCGATGTGCCGCCTATTAATACAATACTACCTGGTTTTTCGGTGGACTGCATCCTAATACTTCAGAATAAAAGATAACAATTTTACAAGAATGAGTTTCATTCTGATATATTTTTTACACTTTGATTAAATGCTGACCTACGGGTATACAATAATCATTAGCAACCATCAATAAAAATTCTATGCAAGAGTTTCATTATAATGCACGGATATATTTAGCCAATTCATTGGCTTGAGGCGAGGGTTCGACAACAATAAAGGAAAAATGTTTTTGTTAAAGGGGCATGGATACAGTTTAAGCTAAAATTTTAAAATATTTTTTTTTAATTTTTACAATTATTTAACCAGGGTCTATTTGATGATCATAAAAAATTTGAACGTCTGTTGTCGAGATACAAAACAGATTTCGATCTCCAAACCTTTGTTATGTAAACAAGGTCCATGTCATGTTTTTGTTCACGTAGGTTAATATACTAATATATGTTTGTACAAAGTAGATAATTTCAATAATTTTATGTTCATTTTTTATACGATTCTACAGTATAGTGATTTGCTGAATTTCATTTTTAGCTCACCTTAGCCATAGGCTCAAGTGAGCTTTTCTGATCACATTCTGTCCGGCGTCCGTCTGTCCGTCTGTCTGTCTGTCTGTCCGTAAACTTTTCACATTTTCGACTTCTTCCCAAGAACCGCTGGGCCAATTTCAACCAAACGTGCCACAAAGCATCCTTAGGTAATGTAGATTCAAGTTTGTTCGAATGAAGGGCCACTCCCTTTTCCAAGGGGAGATAATTACGAATTAGAGAAAAATTAATGGCATTTTTAAAAAATCTTCTTCTCAAGAACCACTGGGACAGGAAAGATGAAACTCATGTGGAATCATCCTCAGGTAGTGTAGATTCAAGTTTGTTCAAATCATGACCCCCTACGGGCTAGGGTGGGGCCAAAATGGCCGACCCAAGTTTTACATAGGAATATATAGGAAAAATCTTTAAAAATCTTCTTCTCAAGAACCACTGGGCCAGGAAAGATGAAACTCACGTGGAGTCATCCTCAGGTAGTGTAGATTCAAGTGTGTTCAAATCATGACCCCCGAGGCTAGGGTGGGGCCAAAATGGCCGACCCAAGTTTTACATAGGAATATATAGGAAAAATCTTCTTCTCAAGAACCACTGGGCCAGGAAAGATGAAACTCATGTGGAATCATCCTCAGGTAGTGTAGATTCAAATTTGTTCAAATCATGACCCCCGGGGCTAGGGTGGGGCCAAAATGGCCGACCCAAGTTTTACATAGGAATATATAGGAAAAATCTTTAAAAATCTTCTTCTCAAGAACCACTGGGCCAGGAAAGATGAAACTCATGTGGAATCATCCTCAGGCAGTGTAGATTCAAGTTAGTTCAAATCATGACCCCTGGGGCTAGGGTGGGGCCAAAATGGCCGACCAACATTTTAAATAGGGATTTATAGGGAAACCTTTTAAAATCTTCTTTCAAGTACTTCAAAGCTATGATTAGTGATATAAATATGGAATCATCTTCAGGTAGTGTAGGTTCTAGTTCAAATCAAATCAGCCCCCCCCCCCTCCCGTAAACTTTCAGTTCTGATCTGATATGTGCTTTTTCCTAGCCAATGTGCTCAGGTGAGCGTTGTGGCCCCTGGGCCTCTTGTTTTATACAAATATGATATTTTCTATGTGTAAACAAAAACAAGGAACGAGCCTTGTTTACATTATGAAGAAATATTACTTCTGTATCTCGTTTGTTAATCAACAATTGATGTTCAAATTTTGGCTTATCATCAGACGACGGTTTATGAAGGAATTGTATACATTAAAATTGGTTTAAGATTCAGTTGAACGTGTGTTAATGCCCCATTAAAAAAATTGAAATATTCACAATGTTTTCCTCTTAGATAAAATAGACATAGAAAAAACCGAGGAAGAAGGAGGAGAATGGAAGTTCAATGAGGAATCCTTGAAAAATGATAAAGGAGAAAAACATGACAACACACTACATTTAGATGAAACCAACAAGACAGCGCACTCCTCATCAGAAGACAATAGAGAAAAAGATTATTTCTCATTGGATGAAGAACCTCCAGAGGGGATAGGCATTGATTCTAAACAATATGAAGACAGCGATAGAATCATTTTGGAAGAGCTTAGGAGAGGTGAGATTGAAGTAAATTTAGGAAATACAATATTGGAAATTCGCATCCCCGTTATCTTGAAATTCACTTCTTAAACTAATCAAAATTATATTTATATGACATATTCACCAAAGCAAAAAGATTTTAATCTTATGTACATGTATGTATTTTATGCAATGATGAGAGAATTAACTCTTTGCCTATCACGCCGTCTATGACGTAATAGTAGCATTACATTTATTACTTTTTGATAACGTTATCCTTTTCTCCACAGCGCACTTGCAATATTACGCGCTGAAAAGACGTGGGTTTGAAGATGATATTTACACTGTGTATATAGCAATGGTTGTCGTATATATCGCCATAATATTCATGTAGCCATCTTAATTGGATTCAAGTATTGATGGTGATTTAATCCTGAAAATTTTGTTGAAGTAATTCTTTTATGTGAAATGTTACAAACTTAATTTATTATCTTAGCTTACAACTTATTTATTTTAAATTTCATATTTAAGTCTAAAACTTCAATAAAAAAATATTTGATTTTTCAGATAGGTTGTCATTTTATGCTCGTGTTTAAGAACGACACTTGAGCCCCCCCCCCCCCCTCATATTTCTTCGGTGCATGCATATCGGCGTTATCGAACTTGCAGGAAACTTGCAAAATCTTCAATTATATATATGTTACAGTAATTTTGTGTAACCAGGAATTTCACGTATTTCCTGAATTTTAGGAAATGCATGAAATTCCTATTCTCCTTAAGGAATACACGTATTTACTAATTTCAGTTAGGAAATACACGTAATTACTGAACTTTTCAATACTTTTTACATATATTTACTGACTGCGTTTTCGTGTGATAATTTAAAATTTGAATCATAAAATATGACTAGATGCACAGTACAGATGTATAATCAATGTTCATATCAGTGAGCATACCATATGTGAATAAATAATATTTGAAATAAACTTTTATGTATAAATTTTGAAAATGTATTATTTGTAAAAATTAACTTAAAGTAGAATTATACTCTGCTTTCATTTTTACTGGAATGTGTTTTCTATATCACAACATACTTTAACTAACTTTCAATTATTTTTATATATTTTTATCTAAAACACTACAGTCGCTTACTGACATTTCTTATTTTATTAGATTTTCATACAATGTTACAGTTTTTGACAGTAAATTTAAAACCCTGAAGCATCTTATTTACAAATAAAACAATTTTTATGCCGTCTCCTCAAAAATGCAACAAACCACCCCCACCCTCTCCTTGTAATATACACATAAATGTAACGAAATTAAAGACAGGAATTAAAATTAAAATTTAACTTTGTGGAAATTTCCACCCTAATAATTCTAATAGTTCAAAATAAAATAAAAAACAAACTGAGTGAATTAACTGAAAATTGCAAAACATATCTATTCTACCCTAAATGTAAAGATGTGAGACTCGAATAAACAGAAGTACCCCTTATATCACCATTTACAATTCGTACATATTTTATAAATGTTATAATAGAAATTATTTAAAAACTATTTCAAATACATTATTCTGGTGCTAAATGATCTAAATTCATAGCTTCTTTAGAAATATTTAAAAAAAAGAATTTTAATATTTGTATGTTTATTGAATGTTTTAAAGGATATGCATATATTATTCATTCTGCTTTGTTCAGTAAAAACTTGTAAAATTGGCTAAAATTTTCAGTAAATACACGAATTTCCTAGCTATACAGTAATTTGATGTATTTCCTAAAACAGCCAGTAAATACATGTATTTACTGAATGTTTTAGGAAATACATGAAATTCCTGATTTCACATATTTACTGTAACATATATATATAAAATAGAAATGCGGTCTTGAAGAGAATGATTCTCACTTGTGAAGATTTTAATAAAAGTTATTTTACCGACTTTTTAGGACAAAAAAGAAGTTGAAGTTTTAAGCATATTTAACCTTATTTATTAACAGTTTTTACAAAAACAATAGTGGCGAAATATATCGCTTAATTTTATATTGAACAATACAGAAGCATATCATTTGATTGTCAAGTGTAAACATTTCATTTTTTAAAGTTTAAATTAATTGATCACATCTTCCTTTTCATATTTTGGCCGATACACGGATGAGATAGTGCTGCCGTCGGACTCGGCATTGAAATAATCAGTCTAAAATTAGCATTATATATCTTATCATTGCTAGCCAAGGTTTTTTGATCCGAAAACTACAATGGTTGAGCTGTAAAGCGGATCGGAAACCCTTGGCTAGCCACATGCGGACTACTTAAATATCAGCACGTTTCAAAAGCCATAAAACAAAGAAAAAACTTTTTTTATGGGTAAAGGTGAATTTTCACATAAATAAATAAAAGTAAAAAAAACCATCTAAATGCAATGTTTTTTTTTTTTCGTAAGAATGGAATTTTATCACCGCCTCCCCCCCCCCCCCCCCCCACACACACACGAAATAGGATTTTCGACTTTGGGCAACTTTGGGCAACTTTTCCCTTTTGTTTGTTTGCATTGATTTTTTTTTGGCTTGTCAACTTTTCCAAGTAAGTAAAAAAAATTTCTCTGGCTGCCCCCCCCCCCCTTTTCAAAATCGATGCTACGCCACTGCCTATTAAGTGTTTCTTAAACCTACCATTTCTAGTGTATGCAGTGTTGTCAAACTTGAAACCTACAGAGTACATGTATACATAAGGCTTGGGGTCAATTACCTTGAAGAGGAATTAATTACTTTCAAATACATTGATTATTTTGTCAATAACTTGCAATTACAATTACCTTGATTTTTTCAAATGCAATAAAATACTTTCAATTACTTTGACAAATGTAATTAAATACATTTTAATTACTTGAGTTTTATTTTTATAAAGGAAGAAAAATAAAGATTTTTTAAAATACATTTTTTCTTTAGTGAACTTTTATTGTGTATTTTTCTTTTTGGGTATGAGAGGCGTTCACACCTGTTCAAAATTAGACCTTTACTTAATGCCCTGGGCAGTGTGAGACTGAATAAACAAATTTTAAAAAATATTATGAGACATTTAATTATTGTACAAACACAAGCCAGTGCTATACCAGTATGGTGTATGTTTTTTTTGTTATTTTCTCAAATCCATGTTTCTGAGAGAAAAAAAAATTCTAACAAATCCATTCAATCTATACTTATAAATTAATAAATTTTGCAAATAAACTCCGAAACGGGTGCACAAGAGTTCTTACTTACCCCTCTAATACTACACTACATACAAGATGTTGTCCGTAAACTATATTCAGATTTCACTCGGATAGTAAGTATCGTACATAAAATTAAAAGGCTACTTCAATTTTCTGAAAACAGCCATGAAATAGCATCAACGTGAAAATTGTGGCGTTTCCGGTTGGCGGATCTAAGCTACTGACAAATTTTAATAAAACTGACAACAAACAATCTATTATTTATTCATAAAATGTCATCACTGAATTATTCAATCAAAACTTGATTTAATTGATATAAAAGAAATAAGTTGCGGTAACCAATTAAAAAACGAAAAGTGTAAATTATTTTCGTCAATCACCGATCTCAAGATTGATGGAAGCTTCTAGAACATCGCGTCCCTTTTGCTACATTGTTTTAATCAAGAAATAATTAAAAATATTGTAATTAACGGGTTAATTGATTAAATAGTTTTACAACAAATGATGTTATATAAATTAGAATACAATAAAAACAATAGTTTTGTAAAAACGAGCAAAATATGCTTGGAATTTATCAGAAACATATTGTTGCCGGGGAAAAAACACATTAAATATTTATTTATACAAGGATTATATTAGTAGACAAATGGTACATAGCAAGCAATCGTGAGATTACGATTTGAATTCATGACAAGCCGACAGCGAGGTATCATAAGTTGAGGACGAGTGAATGACAAATTAAATTATTTTGAATACAGGAAATACGTACATTGAAAGACCAAAATAGATAGGTAGTGTACATATCTCTTTTTCTTCTGAGTTTATCGATAAAAACTGTATTTTCCGTACTGAGAGCAACGTGGTAACGAACCCGACGTACAATTTGTAATCAACTTAATTGCGTTCAATAAAAGAGAAAACTTATGAATAAGGTATTGTTCAAATACATTTAATTACAGCTATAAAGTTTTGTGCTTTCACAAAGACATTTTAGCTTTTTTCTCTCTAAAAAAAAAGTCTCCAATGCCAATTCCTTTCAGAACCAAATTTTTGGGATTCAACACTACATTTCCCTTATATGAATTTCCTGTAGTATAAAAGGAGGGGGGGGGGGGCAACCAGCCTTTCCAATAGTAAAAGTATTGGTGGGAAAAAGTGTGTGTGTGGGGGGGGGCAGCCTTTTTACGTATCAATAAGGGTACATATATAATTATAAACCAAGACCCAAGAAGTACCTGTGAATTTTTACCCCTCCCCCAACTCCCCAAAATCAATTTTTTTTGTATATTATGTATATTCGTTGCTTTTATCCTACATGAAAATGAAATAAGAACATTTGAAGTGCAATATCCATAACATTGTATGAAGTTTTGAACATGTTGAAGGCATAAACGTCAATTAAAGCATTTTTTATTTTCAAAGTTTTCACAAAAAGTGGGTGGGAATGGTGATGTACATTACTTTCATGCGGACTTTTGAACAAAGTATTTCTTCCCTCTGTAAGTCTGTAGTCTGTCAGTAAAATCTACAACTTCTAACTACAATATATAATTTATTAATTTTCTGTAGTAAATGGTAAAGTTCTATGCATAAATTCAATTTCCCGCGCTTGCGCGGGTAATTATCTAGTATTTTAAACATAAAATTAATAGAATATAGGTAAATCAAAAAGGGGAGGTAGTTAGTCTAATTACTGTAAAAACAAGTAATTTATCTAAACATCTTTGTTATTTGCAAGTGGGAACAGGTAGAATTGAGATTTTTAAAAAGTGGGAAAAGTTAGGATAAATCCACAAGTACAAAAACTGTGTATCAGTATAAGACCCCTTTTTATAAACATTCATTTTGAAGAAAAGTGATTGAAAAGTAATTAAAAATACATGACCTTTTTTGAAATGTATTTAAATACATTCACTTACTTTTGATTGAAGGCGACTTTGCAAAATTTTATTAATTACGCTCAATTACAATTACTTTATTCAATTACCCCATCTCTGGTATATACATATTCTTAAACTACATGCAAAAGCGGATAAGTGAATATTTTTAAATATTTTTAAATATACTGACAATAGAAACCTACTCAAGGCGGATCAAGGAATATTCCTAAGGGACTAATCAGTATACATTTACAGATCTTTTAATTATACCCGCTCTCCGAAGCCAAGGAGAAGGAAAGGGGTATACTGTTTTACCTAGAATGTTTGTCTGTGTATCTAGCTGTTTGTGTGTCTGTTCGCACAAAAGCTTTGATCGCAGTTTTCGCAGCAACTTCTCATTACAAATGCTTGAAATTTTAGCATATTCTTCACTGAGGCATGCTTTATCGTGGCATCTTTTTTTTAATCCGATGTTAACTGCCTGTTAATCTGTGCGTCTGTCATACAAAGCATTACACATTTCCGTCGCAGATTTTTTTTTTTTTTGAATATTGGAAACGTAGACTTGATAATGAAATCATTCAAATTTGAATTAACCAACATCTTTTTCAACAAGATGTTGTCGTTTCTCTAGTTTTTTCCCTTTCCATTGTGTATGTTTTTTTTTATTGCTGTGTAAGGCGGAAACAATAAAATTGTATTTTTACGTATTGGAATTTAAATTGAACAAGAAATAAGATTAAATGTAAATTAGAAATAAACTTTATTCTATGAACAAACATCTTTTCTCTTCAGTTGTATAAGTATGAATTAACTTAATTTTTTTTGTAATTTTATCCATACCTTCTGTCAATATTTGCACACATTTTTATTAAATATCTATATAAAAAAACTCATTTATAGAATTTGATAAATTCTGAATCAAAGTTCCCATCTCACACAATATTGGGTGACAACCACACCACCAACCTAGCGGTTCAAGAAGGCTTATTTAGTGTCAAAAGAAAAACCTTCTTAATTTGTCTCGCATATCCAAGTTTTCTCCTATAAATCGAACGACTCGGACATATTAAAACGAGGAAAAATATTCTTACATGTATTTGCGATATATATTAGAATGGCATTTAAAAATATTTTCTTATCATTTATTGTCATACCATCAAAACTTTACGTGGTATCAGAGCAGAAAACGCCAAAAAACGGTATGTGCGTTAAAATGCATGATTGTGGGACAACGGTAAATGCGTGGCTGAAGGGGGTTAAAAAGGACTTTCATAATGCGATGGATTGTTTAAATGTTTTCTGTAAGTCCAGATATCTAGTTATCTCCTCTTCACTTTTCATTTCTGATTGTATTTGCGTATGGAGAGAACTAATATAGGCCATAAGCCTGTTGTTCAATCCTTTTCATTGTATACTTCTTTGTATATTATGAGTAAAATACCCCTTAAACTTGGTTGTATTTGTATAAATTATTAATAGATTAATTATGAGGAAATGATTTAAACTATGTTCCACAATTTTTAGCATTGCAAATATACCAATAAATCAAAATTTCTGTCTATTTTACCAATATTGCCAAATACTGGGTAGATGATTACTTGAAATCTTGCTCAAAAGGTCTTTTTACTAAGTTATTGGGAGCATTGGTAAAGCGCTTGTGGTGTAAATTGGGGGATGGGTGGGTTACAGGGTTCAATTCTCTTCCCGGTGCAGCATGAAACGTTGATAAAAATGTCCCTAGTTTGGTGAATCTTTCAAAGATTCCCGTTTAATTCTGTATCAAATACTGACCACTTTCAAAAATAAGAAATAGTTTAGATTGTTCCCAATCAAATTATAGCTTAATTATCTTTTTTCAGCTGGTATATATCTTGATGGCTATGAAATATGGGAAACAGAGATGTCAGGTAAATAAATGTTTCATCATTTTCTATTTTTATTATTTCAATTAAAGTTACATTGATTGATTGAGAATGTTTATTGGTTATTTTTTTTCTGATAAAATGACATAATCTTAGGCCGGAGACTGGCTCCAGAAGGATCAGATGACAAAATTATGTTTGGGGCCCTTTTTCTACAATGAATTATATTACATCTACAACCACTCTGGTTATTTTTATACAGGAGTGAAAGAAAATGACATCTTTTGTATAATTTTGAAGAATACTGCATTATTCATGTTTTCTAGACCAAATGATAACAAAGAACAAGTCTCAATAAGGCATTATCTGTGGTCCCCGATTACTCGTCAAATATTAAACTTTCATTAAGACACTTAAAAAGTAAATTTTATTATTCTCTTATGTCTGTAATATCTGCGCCAACTTTTAAAAATATAAAATAAATGCAATAGACAACTCGCCAAGCTGTGTTTTGAAAGTGGGGTCCTTTGATTTTCATGAATATCAAAGGAAATTTGTGACAGGTACCCACTTCACAGCTTTCGTAAACATCGAGCGCAGAATTGTTCAAAGTCGAGATCAAAATATGATGTGTATATTATATTTCTACAACTTGTGTCTTTGTTGAACAACCTTGCGCTCTATATTTTGTACTGAAAAGTATCATGATTTTGAATCTGTTTAGTGAGT